AAAAAACTTAATGTCATTTCTTGATAATGCATCCGCCAGAGTGTTGCACCTCCCCGGGATGTGTTCAGCTCGGAACCAAAAATCATAATATGATGCGTAAAATGCTAGCAACCTGATCAGGTGCATTAGGTGGCTCTCTTTGCTGTGGGTGTTGTTCAATATGTGGACCACTGCTTGGTTGTCCACTGAGAACACGATTAGCTTCCCTCTCCATGACCTTCCAAACAAGGCCGCCGCAATAACAACTGGGATGAGCTCTTTGACCTGAATAGAGGTTGGCTCCAGGTCAAGCGGCCACTTAAAAGAGAACCAAAGGTGTGAACAAAAAGCTCCACCCCCCCCAGGAGCCTGAAGCGTCTGAAAATACCTGGATGTCGGCTTTTGAGTGTTTTGGGTCACAAAGCATGGAGACCCCATTCCAATGAGAGACAAATAGCTGCCACCACATTACGTCGGCTCTTGCTGCTACATTCAGACGAATGTGATGATCTGGGGCAGAGCCCACCTTCTCCAGAGCATACAGCCTTTGCAAGAAGGCTCTACCCGGCCTGACTACCTTGCAGGCGTGCTGTAGGAGGCCGGTAAGGCTCTGCAGTTCCCGTTTTGATATCACTTTCCGACCCTGTACCTCCTTCAGCTCATTCAGCAATCTGTCCAGCTTGTCTGTAGGGAGGCGTAGCTGCAGGCTAACTGTGTCTACCTCGATACCGAGGAATGTGAGGCAAGTGGTAGGACCTTCCAGCTTGCTGGGCTCTAGAGGAAGGCCTAAACTACCAAAGACAGAACAAAGAGTAATTTTAGACTCTAACGCTGTAGCCTGGTTCCTCTCCACGAGTGCAAAGTCATCCAGGTAGTGTAAGACCTGCCTCACCCCATTCTCAGTTAACACCCACTGAGCTGCATCGGCTACGGCAGAAAATATCTTTGGGGCTGAGCGAAGACCAAAAGGAAGGAACTTGTCTACAAAAACTGTTCCATTCCATTGAACTCCCAGAAGACCGTAGTCGTCTGGATGAATGGGGATGTTACGGTAAGCTTCTTTTATGTCTGCCTTCACTATGAAGGCCCCCCTCCCATTGCGTACAATAAGTGATGCAAGATCATCCACAGTTGGGTAACGCAAGGAGGAAGCTGAGGTGTCAATCCCGTCATTCACACTCTGGCCATGGGGGGAAGACAGGTCCACAATGAGCCGCCATTTACCTGGCTTATTCTTTTTTGGAATAATTCCCAAAGGGCTGATGTGGACATCGCTCTGTGGAGGCCGAGTGAACATTCGACCCAGCGATACCTCCCTTGCTAAGTATTTGTGAATGACCTCGGGATTGGAGCATGCCATGTTTGAAGAGGCCGATAGCAAAGGGGAGTGGCGATTAAAGCCAATCCTGAACCCTGACTGAATACCTGATTGAATATAGGAGGCAAACTGAGTGTCTGGATGATTAGCCAGACACTTAGTCCAGTCTGGCAGAGAGAGAGGAGAAGACACCTTGGGAGCAGAGGCTCCACCATTGGGTGGCTTACAGCCTTCAAGAGCTAATAGGTCATCGGTGTATCGGTAGCAACCCTCTCTTACTTGCCCATAGATGTGAGCTTCGAGCTCTGAGCCTGTAAATAGAGGGGAATCGAATTAAGGGAGAGAGTACACTGTCCTCTTGTAGCCCACTTTGACATCATGGGACTGTTAGTATTACTTATACTAGTATAAGAGTATGCTACCCCCCAACTTTTGATTGGTACAACTTCATGCACTACCATTATTTTTATTGTGTTATCAATTTAAACTTAATAAAACAATTGCTAGTCATTTCATTGTCCTTTGTCCCCGCCCTGCTTGGGGGGTGGGGTCACCCTGCCCCCCGTGGCCACAGCCACGACTTGACAAGACCCCCATTCTAGTAGCCCACTTGGGGGATACCATATGGGTGAGGCTAGCGAACTCCCCATCCTGGCACAGAGTGTGTGCATACTGTGCTATGCTACAATTGCTTTGTAATGATGATAAACAGAGAGAGAAAAAAAAATTAACAAATATTTTTAAACAAGGGGCCCAAAGCCTCCGGGAAATACTATGATACAGTGACTAATGAATGTGATAAATGTTCCTTGACCAGCTTAAGACCCCTGCCTCATTCTGATGAGGTGGCTGACCTCTCTTTCCTACTGCGTTTCCCACAGTCCAAGCCCCTGTGTGACGGATCCCCACAGTAGTAGCAGGCATGACTAAACCGACATGACTCGGCTCGTTCGCATACTGAGGAGAAATTCCATTGGAAACAGACCTTTTGGGATGACTTGGGTCTCTTCGAGCTGAGACCCTTGCTAGAGGGAAGTTGGCTTGACGGGGGAGATGGGGAAGGGGGAGCTCCTGGCGTACGCCATATTGGCAGACATCTGCCATAAATTATGATGTTTAACTCTCCCCACTTGCGTACTCCTTTGGCAGCTGCCCACGCCCTGAATTCAGAGTCATATGATATCCACCTCCCCCCGGCCAAGTCCCTCGACAGCTGAGTGATCAGATGCATGTGAGCTAACAGGCCCACCACTTCTTCCCTGGTCGTCTCCTCTGCTGCTGCTAGGACAGCTGAGTAAATGGAGAAGGCCTTTATCCATGACACTATGTCAGTAATCTGCTTCCTTCTCTTTTGAGCTTGTTCCACTGATTGGAATATCATGATTTGTGACCCCTGCTGCTGGACGAGAGATTCCTCCGACTTGGAGGAGGGGTCATGTAGTAAAAGGGACAGATCAATAAACTCCCACCTCCTGATTTTCTCGACCAGCTTGGTAGGGATGGGAGGGAGACCCTCATCTACCAGACATGTTGAGGCCACTGACAAGGACGTAGCAGCTATCTCTTTAACTGCGGACATGGCAGCAGAGCTATGAAGTGGCAGATCCCCACTGCTTAATGTGAGACTGGGGTCCACGGGCAACCCTTCTGTCCCTATAAACAGAGATGCAAATAAACAACCAGGTGCATGAACTTATACATGCTGGGTTAGACACTGTTCCCCCTCCCCAATGGGGTACTCTAGGTCGGGCTAAGGCCCATGCTCTGAATAGGGAACCAGCTCCCTGGCTGAAAATTCATTTCTTATAGAGCTGGAGTTATTTGATTGAAATAACCCACACCACCACATACCCAGGTTAAGTAAACTGAGGTTTTAACAGTATTCTTGTGACTAGGCTGTCCAAACAAATGATTCTTTGAACTACCTATGGGGGTCACATTTTTCTGTCTGGGGACCCGCCCAGGGCCTGGCTTCCCCAGCAGATAGCTACACCCCCTCCCTGGTAGCCCTCTAGCTACCCCTAAAGCCTGGTTTCCATAGACAGCCTTACAACACTGTTGCAACAGCTTAGAGATAGAGATCAGGTCTATCTCTACAACAATTGTATGCAAACCACCAAGTACACACAACAGCCGCAACTATATGGAAACCAGACTGAGGCCCTTTCTAAGTCAGTAAACCGACTCCTGTACTGACACTCTACAGGGCACTATAAGAGGGTGACCTCTTGGGACCCTTTCCCAAGACACCCTCCGATCCACCAACATAGGTGGCTAACCTCCCCTCCACGGGAGAGACCGGGGTTACCTGGCAGCACCTTCCCACCATGCCGCGGGGCAAGAGCAGGACCCATTCCCTTAATGGAGTGTAACACTATTCCTGCTTTATCCCCTTTCCCCAGTGGGAGACAGGTAACAATCCCCCAATACAGCTTTAAACCACTCCCAGGAGGAGCCCAACCAGAGGATAGGCAAGCGGCTAACGAAACAGCCGCCATTTATTGCCATTGGTTATGCAAGCGACACACCTCTACCACCCTGCATGCGATGGGTTGATCCATTGGGTGTGTTGGGCACGACCAGGACAACGACCCCAAGAACCCTCCCTGTTCACTGATAAAACTTATAAGGAGATAATAAGCTCAGCTAGTAGCATTCCCGACCACCAGCCAACAGTTGTCCTGGTTTTGCCCCCCTAGTCTCCCACTACTTTACAATACAACCTGTAAATAAAACTATACCTGGAGCTGAGGCTTCTGATGTATGAATGGCTGCGATCACTGCCTCTGTGATGCTCCTCAGCTCTTCGGCGGACAGACGTGTCCCCGTAGCTCCTCCAGGACCAGTACCATCGCCACCTCCAGAGTCTGACGGGAGAGTACGAGCAGTGCCGGATGAGCTGCCAGAGCCAGTGGCACCTGAGCCAGACGCGGGAGTCCGTGTAGCATCTGTCTCGCGAGACCCCGTGCCACCGGTTGGAGGATCGGAGTGGCCATCCCTGGACCCTTCAGTAGACATCAGATGTGCAATTCAAACCAATGAGAAATTCAAAAGGAAAAGCCGCAAAGAAAAAAGACTGAGTGAATCTCTTGAGCTGTTGCTGCTTGTTGCTTTCCTGCTAGTGATGATAACTAGCAATTAATTAACCTATTAATATTAACTACAAGAGTACAGCCTTCTAGTTAACCTTGTTTAACCCTCTGGCTTAAACTCCAATTAAAAGTTCCACCCACCACTAGTAGGTGTGGTCCTGAGCTAGTGTTAATCAATACACTGGAATGAGAACGTCTTTCCTCAGGCCATTGTACTGATCCTCCAGGATTAGATAACTTTGAACAATTCTAAAATGATAAAATAAAATTTAATTATCATAAACCACACCCACACACTCAGTGTTATGAATAATAATACACACATACAATACATTATTAATGTAATTATACTAATAATACACTCACCACTGATGTATCAGTAAAATTAAGAATATATACATTGTTACTGTCTCTATTAGCAGTGTCACCTCCAAATAATATAGCACTGGAATTATTAATTGATGTTAAAGTGAATTCATCAATAGGAGGTGGTCTGTCTCCAGTGACAGTCGGTGATATCCATTGTCCTAAAATATCAATAATAATAATTAGTGTGAATGGAATGCATTGGGTGGAGCAAACTAGTTGACATTTCTATGATCATATTATCAAATAATTAGGAGTGACAACCATAAACAAACAAGCAAGCAATTCTCAATGTAACCAGTCTGAGTGGAGAACCACCAAATAACAATACTTCATTATATTAATATAAACTGTATGTGCTCTGACCTGTTGAGAGTTTATAGAAATGGATGTCATTGCATTGTTGATTTAATATATCAAAACTATACTGGGCACCAGGTTGTTTGGGTGTATTATTAGAAGATGGTCCAGATCCTCCAATTATTACAAGATAGTCCTCACCGTTCACTTTTATTGCTATCATGTCACAGTAGTTCTTCATCATAGGACCATGATGAGATGTAGTAGGAGAGAGTTCCTTCCAGTTGAAGGTATCAACATTAAAACTGTATAAATATTATACACTTTAGGGTGCTCTTTTTTCGAGGGCTATAAATTTCTAGTTCCCTTTTTTAGCGAAATCAAATTTTGCGAATCACGACTTCCTAATAACCCTTTTAGCTGACACAATTGCTCTCTGAGGTATAAGATTTGACAAACGACCAGCAGAGTTTGGGAAAAAGCCAAAGAACATCAAGTCTACTGTGCAAAAATAACTAAAAATAGTCCAGAAAGCTATCTTTACTATAAAAATACCCAAGTAAAACATGCCATCAAACCCCCTTGCAATTTATTATTATTATTATTATAGGCCATGCACAATGTTCACGACGTTTTCAAAAAATTTTCGAAATTTATAGCCCTTGAAAAAAAGGCACCCTATGGTAATATTTGTCAGCAACTGTTATATTTACCTGTATAAACTATTATGATAACAGCCAGGATGATTACAATAGCCTCCAAAATAAAAGATTTCCCTTCCAATGGCAGCAGCTGCATAGCCCCTAACACCCAGTGGAGGGTTACCAGTGGTGGGTTTCTGCTCCCACCTACCAGTCCTTAGGTGACACACCTCCATCACAGAACACATTGATTTCTTCTTTTCATCATTATGCACTTTAGGGAGACTAGGCTGGTACCCACCCCACATGTACAGGTAGTCTCCTACCCGTACAGTGGAGTGTCCATACCTCTCCACTGGTTGATAGTCTATAGATAACAAGAGGTAACAGTAACTGAATGATACACTAATAGTAACAACACACGAGTCATAATCAAGTACAAACAAAATACTGACCTGGTGCTTTGGCTGCTATTATTGTTTGGAGGTGAATAGGTATAAGCAAGATAGAGCAAGTCTCAGCAAGATTAAGAGTAGATAATTAGTTAGGTATGGTCCGGTACGGTACGCGGTATGCCATTCTATGACGTCACTCACGTCAGGTTAGCTTAGTCAGGAGGTGTGGCATTAACATTAAAATAAAACTTTTAAAGAACACTAAATTTAAACTAAACAAAGAAACAAAATCTAAAAATTAAAACACAACAATAAATTCACTACATCACTAAATGCTTTCATTCAATTCTTTTATAATGTCAGACATTGTTGGACGATCTTTGTAGTTCTCTATCAGACAACGTTCAATCAGATTCTTCAATGTCGGCCTCTTGATAGCTTTAATCTGAGCCACTCTCTTTCCTACGTCTGGAAACTCACAAACGACCATCTCTATAAGGAGGACACCATAACTGAAGACATCCATTGCTGGAGAATGTTGATTTGGGTAGGGAGATTCTGGAGCTGAATAGACAGGATTACCAGGATTGCTTGTTTTAGTAAGAGGTTGGAGACTAACTGTACCATAATCTGATACTTTAGCCCTCCAACAGTTACCAATTGATTGAAGGAGTACATTAGCACTGCTGACATCTCTATGTAGTATAGGATGAGGCTTGAAGAGATGAAGGTAATTGAGAGCACAGGCTACATCTAAACTGATGCTCAGTATCGCAGGATAGGCCACTCCTCCACTCTCTAATTCCTTTCTTAGGCTCGTCGGCATTAGCTCTGTCAGGATGATTGGATACCCTCTGTAGTCG